TCTGCGGTAAAATCCATCATAGTCCTATCCAATACCTTTTTGATTTGATATTTGATATACTTTATTAATCCCTGTGGGGAAATTGTTTCTCTGCATTTGACCCATCCTGTGTTAGGAGCAGTGTGCTGCCATTTTGAACGGCGCCCGGGGAGCAGTATAGGGAACGGTGCCTTGCTCAGGGACACCTCGGTAGCACTTGGTCTTGCCGGGACTTGAACTGGTGACCTTCCAGTTGCCAAGCCAAGTCCCTATCGATTTCGCCCCAACCTAGCATTTAGAAAAGGAATTAAAATAAAAGCCAGTGGTGTAATGTAAAAAACAAAAAGGCAATGCATCAAAAGCGCTTGACTTTTCTCTCTATATTTATCTGTTTTTTTTTAATTTAATCCAGCTCAGCAAGATGTGAATTAAGTGATCTGTAATCCCCTCGAACAGCATGAGAAGGAGACCTCGTTTCTATTTGCTATTTTTCGGCCACAGTGGATGAGAGAACGGTGACGACAGAAAGTCAACATTTTCGAACACAGGGCTCTTTTGGGCTTCAGGAGATCAGCAGGTTCACACAACATCTCACAGGATGAATACAGATGTATCCAGGCAGACATTATGAGTAAATGAAAGGGTTACATTACATCATTTCAACATATTCTAGTAGAATCAAAAATTCTCCTGCACTCCTGATCCTCTCCATCTGTTTTCATGACTCTTAAACATTTTAGATCCACTCAAAAGCAGTCACACAATTTCTCTTGCATGCTAAAATCTTCTGTTGCACTCGCGATATATTCCTTTCTTGCACACAAATCTAATTCTGCTCTTAAAAAGCCATGCCAGTGTGCTTTTAAAAGTCACTTTCAGACTATGTATGTAACGCTCAAATATGTTCAATACCACTCTCCATTGCTGATAGTGGAGCTAACTTTAATTCTTAAATACAGGAACCGATTTAAAAGGTGTATTCAGGAAAAGAGAAAACTGCTTTTTCTGTCGTCAGAAAGTTGTGTTTCTCCTGAATGTCTAGAGAAACGTCATGGAAAAGTTGTGTGTCAAAAGAGGAAGGAAAACAAAGAGGAAGGTCACAGATCAGAAGGATCTGACCACCTTTCATATCTCCTCCTCTTCCACAGCTGTGTTTATCACTAGCAGTGTTCAATCTCACCGACATGGTACAGCCAGAAGAAATTGAACAATGCTTTAACGGCTCAATAACAGAAATGAATGGCGGGACAACGAGTCTGTACACTTGCTCCAAACATCTGTTTTGAGGC